CGGCGCCGCCGCCGCCGCTCGTGAACACCCCGAGGGCAGTGCGAGACGACGCTTACGGCAGAGAGGAAAGTGCGTCAGAGTGTTCAGGAACGGGGCCGGCGGGGGCTGGCCAGGGAGGTAATGATCTCTAGAACATCACGATGCAAAAATACAAAGTCAAAAATCATCAGCTAGAAATCTCCAACTAAAAAACATGGTTGATTGTGAAATCAGGTTCCAAATTACTAAAAACACTGTATTTAACAAAAATAATCTTAATAGTTTTATGAATCCATTTTATTTTAAATCCCTCTTTTATTGTCTGCTTATGTTACAGTTTAGTAGCAGTATCTTTTTTTACTGAAACTACTAACAACCTTTTTTTGTGAAAATGATCAATCTCAGCTTTCATTTTCCCTCTGCATGACCCGTTTTATCCAAGTTTCAGCATTTCTTGCATATTGTTTGCATAAGGCTGAGAGAAATGGACAAAGAGAAATAACTTTGGATAAATAAAAAATATAGGTTCATGGAAAGTGGGAAGCTTATAAAAATGTCACTAAAATTATATTGATTCAAACAAACTTACATACATCTCTTGTCAAATAAAGGATGATATTCATGCTTTTATGACATTTGTTTAGAGTCACTAACTAGCTCGGTGACTTTGTAATAGTCTATTTAGGAAATTTATAGTCTGGCGACTGTTTTTTTTTCTTTTTTGAACAAAGAAAATTAGAGCAAGTCATTGCACAACTAGTTTAAATAGTGCTACCTCAAAATGGCATTTTTGCCGAGATTGTTTTGAATTTGGTGAAGTTTAGTGCTTCAAGCTTTTCTTTCCTTAAACTCATTTACAAATTAACTCTAAATTTGCCAGCAATATAAAAACTGTTGTGGCACCTAATATAACTACCCTGAACATCCCTCATTGGACCTCTTTAATAAAAAATAATCCTTAAACGCTTTTTTTTTCAGTGCTTTAAATGTGACATGAAAACAGCTGTATTCTAGGTTTACATTCTATGCACATCTATGCCAGATGTTTAAGTAGATAAATAAAATAGGAGGTTACATCAAAGTGTCAAGATATACAAAAATCCATTTAGCACTGAAAAAGTTCCAACCTCCTTTAACTCATAAAGCCATACAAGCTTGAATGCATCCTTTCTGGCTTAAGAAGATCAGCTCTGTTCTTTGTTGAGGCACTGGCACAGGTTGTGCAAAACCCATTTTGATACACAAATAATTTCAAACAGGAAGTACTCAAATCCACTTTTTCCACTAACAATGTTATGGTTTTGGGAAACAGAAACTCAGCGGTTAAAAGAACAGGTATGCAGTAGCCAATATAAATGAGAGTCACTGATTTCAGGCAACACTGTCTGCTTCTCAACGCTGATGGCTGGGAAACATCTATGGACACGAGCGACCGTCAAAACGTGAGGTTCATAAATGAGTGCTGTGGGGGTAATCTTCCCTCTCTCATAGTTTGGTTCAAAGCCTGCTGAAATGAATGGAAAGATTTCTACTGGCCCAAGGCTTTTCTGAATTGGACTCTTCCAAGGTTCTTGCTTATGAAGAAATCTCCACAGCAGATGGTCACAGCCTGGTCTGGGGCACACCAGTTGTGCCTTGCGTGCGCCTCTATCACTTGTGGCCCACATAAATACGTATCTACCAATGTATCTGTACTCACATTGGAGGAGAGGGGGCAAGGAAATCCTCTAGCCAAAGCCTAGGAACTTTGAAAAGAAAACATGATCTGGTTGTCAAAATCTGGCACCCCACAGGACCACGGTGAGCTCAGAGTGCAGACCCTCCGGACACTAGCAACTTGCTTCTTGTTTGGTTTTAACAATGATTCTCTTTCTCCGAGCAGTTTATAGTTCTCTGGAGTTCACAGATTTACAGGAGCAAATCCATCTCTTCCATAATGGCTAATGATATTATAAAGCTTTGATAGGGATGAATTTGGTGCGTCCTCAAATCAAATTCATTGTGTAGCCAGGCTGTTCAGCAACGCAGCGTAATGACAGGCTCTGCTGTCTAGGGTGCACGGGCTGGAAATAGTTTCATTCATGCGCGTGAAAAGGAGGTGTTGAGAACTAGCCCTTGTTGTGTGACAAACATTGCTCTTGATCAAGTAGAAGATGCCAAAACACATCCACTGACTTACAGGAACTCCATTAAAAAGAATATCCATGTATGGTGGAAAGCTTAAGTTTAGATTTTTCGTGTTTGCTTGTTACTGGTATGCTTGCTTTAAAGGGCCAGAGATCTTGGGAAATGTCACCAACATAAGGAGAATGGTGAGTAAATAATTGGTGCACACTGATGAAATGTCAAGATGAGCCACGTAAGGTTTCAGGCTGAAATGTTGCAGCGTGCTCAATGGAGATAAACCTACCTGCACACTATCACCCAGCTTGGGCAGAGTCATGGTTATGGGTCTACTCCAGCTGTATGTTTTGTAGCTAACAGTTGGTGCTTGTTCCTCTCCAAAGCAAATGCATCTTTGCCCAAATGAAGCTGTCTCACTTATCCGTCTATTTTTTTTGACTGCACCATGAGAATAGCAAGAAAGATTGTGCGCCATTTGCAGCTGAGAATGCACTTCACTGTACAACAGAACTGCAGAAACTCCTTGACGCTTTCCACAATCTGAGCAAATCCTTCCTGTCACCTTACTTTTCACTGAGTGCAGGTTGTGTTTTTGTTTTCTGTGTTTCCAGAATCAGCTCACTGTATTTAAAAGAGTACCCTGAACTGGACTAAAATGACAACTGTCCTTTCCTGTCATTTGTACTAAATTTTGGAGACTCTATCTGAAGGCAAATTTTACATGATAAAGGAGCATTTAACACAAGCAACTGTAGCTGACATTAACAGCAAAATCTAGAAAAGGGCAGAACATTCTTGTGTCGTGTTTTTCAAGCACATAATTCCTGTTTCCCACAATAACATTTTTAGTAAAAAACAAACAAAATCCCATAAAACCTACAGTATATGAAAACTTAAGACATAACAATAATGAAAAAATGGTATTGAGTATACTTGATAATGATGTACACTTTAAAACAAATCAATAGACTATGATGTAAACAAAACAGTAAGATAACACTTTAAAAACAAGACAAACATTTATCCATCGATAGTATACAGTAAACCAACAGTCCGCTGTGCAGATGCACTTATCAGGATGGTAGTCATAAAATGATTAAGTGTGTTAAAGTAAATGTGTTATAAAAGTCTATTATAATTTTCTACTTGTATATCTCATATAACAGAACGCGGTTTGTTAATTGTTTCTATAGTGCTTTTTTTTTTTTTGTTTTTTGACATTCCCATTGATCAGTTTTTGGTTAACATGTAGGCTGCAACAGGCTTACTGTAGAGGTGGTGGAGAACGATAGAGGGAAGAGGGGGTATATACAGAAAGGCCATGCGCAGCTTCCCACCAAGAAGTCCTGGTGCTCCATAATTTTACTGTTCAGAATTTCAACATGGTCTGCTGGAGGGGAAAGAAAAAACAACAAAGAAAGAGTAAGAAACTGGAGGAAATCTTTTTTTTTTTTAAATAAAAGTCATTCTAATAAGATACATCTACGTCTTCACTGCATTGCCCGACAGGTTTCCTTTATTGCAGACAGCCAGCATTTTATTCCCCTTATTTTTCTGACTTAGGGTGAAATTGCTAATAACACACTCGGCATTTTTTTTTTGCACTTAGGGCTTTTCATTTTCAGTGTGTTTCACACACACTGATGAAATAAATTGTGAAATTGGGAGGTGGGTGACTAATGGTCTCATTTTGGAGACAAGACAGCAGGTGGAGAGTGACTAATGAGAGGGAAGAAGGAATCCCTAACCACTGCTAGCTCCTGTTTCCCTCGATGAGAGCCAGATATTCACTTTAAAATACCATCCTAAGGAGCCAAGAGCCAAAGGCAAATCAGCCCCACAGACAAGATACAGACACAGAAACCTTGTGCTCAGGTGACTCCCTTCTGGGAGCGAATCATCTCTCTTGGCATTACTTTTGAAAATCCTCCTTTAAAGGTGACAACGGTCTGGTTGCCTGAAGAGCTAGGCTAGCCAGCACCTTGCCTACCATGGGGAAAAAAAAACATCTGACAGCACCACAAGTGCTTTCATGACCAAACTTCCACTCATGGCTGCTTTGGGAATTTGCCCTCCCCAGCACTGCAAAATGCCCACCAGGGTCCTTCTCTGGCAAAACACCTCAGCATATGCACAATTTCACATATGCAGGTGGTAGCATGAAATGATGCATGCTTGAGAGATTTCCTGGCCTTTAGTTTATACACTGAGGGGTAACATCCCAGGACTGGGATCAAAACTCAAAGGCTCCTGCATGAAAACGGTCACCAACAGGTCTGAGTGCCGGGGAAGCTGGAGGAAAATGCACTTTTCTACCAGTCTATGAAGGCAGTTTATGTCCTGCAGCTGTGAGGTGCTGAGCAGACCAGTGCTTCTAGCACAGCGGTGGGTCACGCACACGGTTAGTGTTCCCTTGCAAAGAACAGGCTCAGTGTCCTACACAGACACTCTCCATGCCCAGTAGCCTGAGCCCCAAGAAATCCCATCAAATTCAAAATGTTGACCCTACTTGTTTCAAGCAAGGGTTTTTCATTCCTTCACAGCACTGCTGATGCTTCGTTTGGACACACTGGGCTGTGCTCCCTGCTTGCAGAAGAAATATAGTTCCATGGAATTTCCTCGCCTTGTCTAAAATCACTGTTAACTACTGACACGCGTAAAAGTGAAAAGAATTAAGAAAATAAGAAGTTTCCTGAAATAAATCTGGAAACCAATCTCAAAGAGTTCAAGAATGAGGTTTTTTCAATGCAAACGATCCCTTCTCGGGGGGAACAGACTGGCTTGCATGTGGTATGGAAACAGTTTAACATGTCAGGTGTCACGCCTGTTATTTAGGAGAGTAGTATGCAGTATAATGCAGAACCTTTTTACTAACAGGGATAGCTCAGCGTTCAGCCCTGAACCAACAGGGATACACGGCCACAGTTGGCAGGCCATATGTATAGAGGAAAGTTTATTTAGGCCAGCAGAGATAAGGGGCACCACCAAAATGAGCAACTTCTGTCTATTGCTGAAGACATGGAGAACTGCCCACCAAATTTATTTCCAGCATTTAAGTACGTGCCCATAATCCATGACCTCAGGGAGCTTTCGGATGCATATCTGTGTATACTAAACGGCCTGCACTGGGAAAATCTGGTGGCCTCTTGCTGAGTGAGCCGAACTGTTCTTTAGTCTCTTAGGGGTAAAAATACTGAAACTCCCAAGAGGTTTTCTCTCGTGAACAGCATCTAACATTTACAAACAAAAGCAATGGAAACATGACAATGCTGCTCAGGCTGTAAAATTATACTGTGTAAATCAAAGAAAAGGACAAGCTCCTCCATTACTCCCACTTGGAGAAGACCAGCAACCTACGGAAGCCCAGGATCTGCAAGTGGGGTGAAGGATAGGTTGCCTGCAGCATTCATCCTGCTCCTAACGGCATACACGGACCTCTGCGGAAAACCGCTATGAGCCAGCCCCCTGCTGCAGCTAAACAGCAGGCTCAAACCAAGCCAGCCCTGCTGAGGTGCAGCGGCCAATGATGACCCAGTCCTGTTTACCCCAGGAAAGGAAATATGCCACTCACGGAAGTTCCTATAGGAGTTACATCTTTCCACCTGACTCTTGCTACGAGAACAGTCTCTACCATCAATAGCACAAATCCCTGAGGCGTGGTAAGGCAGCTGGGAGGTGCCCAGAGCCAGGGCACCAAAACAGGTATTTTAGGCGCAAGGTAATGTTGCCTGCTATAAGCCCTAGGGTTGGTCCATACCTCTGCTGCTGCTGCTGCACTGCGGTTGACTTGGCAGGGAGCAGAGCCCCAGAGGCTGCGGGTTCAGCCCCTCTGCCCGAACGAGCACCTTCAGAGGATGCAGTGCCCTTGCGTAAAGTGATTGACTGTAAAGAGTAATACTGAAAAGGAACTTACTGTTCTATCGGGAACTTCTACATCTGTGAAACAAACATGCTGCTACTCAGTTCATCTACTGATAACTGGGATATCTACAGCAAAAAAAAAAAAAAAACAGAGAACACAACACATTAAAACATTGTCTTGAGCTCATTCCGTCTTCAGTTTCAGGTTCGCAAGTACATCAGTGTCTTAAGAAAACAGGATCCGTTCCCAAGATGCCTCTATTTTGCCACACGTTAAGTACAATGTAGTTGCATCTCTACTAATGCCTCGTGGAGTACGTGGCGATTGTACTGGGAGTTTTACTCCATAGACAGTAAATAAGACAGAGAAATGCCCTGAAACTAGCTGGCTGAAGAGTAAGGAGCATAGCTTTGCCAGGACTTGTTAGCCATAGAGTAACACTGCACAGCAATTTCTGCTTTCTTCTCATGACCAATACAAGTACCAGTAGGACCTTCTCTACCTGAAAATAACGACAAAGCACGGAGAGAGAATAGCGATACCTACTGCAAGCAGTAAAGCACTGCCTAGGACTTACGCAGGCAAAACTTCTACTGAAAGCCTTACGACCTTGGGCTAGAACATCCTACAGCCTGAGAAATTACTGACATTCAGCACTGCTAACAGTGTCCTACACAATGAAGTGATACCCAGTTTTCTTTGCAGTCGCTCTGAATTTGAGAGCATGACGAAGAACTACATAAAAATGCAAAAATAGTATCAGGGAAAGGAAAAGTCCTTCTGCTTGAAATTTCTCTAATCGGAAAAAAGTTGTGGCACATCAAATTATCAGGAAGCATCACCAGGACAGATTGTGCATATACAGTTCAGGACTGGTGCGGAAGCAGCCATCACAACTCAGTATCTTCAGAGGAGAGTTTTGGAGAGAATTATGGCTAGGCAAACATGCATGAAATCCTTTACACTTAAGGCAGTGCTACAACAGCACGTACTGCACATCCAGAGTAATTTCTGTAGGGATGGGTGATGTTTCTGGTATCAATAAGCTCGAATCTTCGCGGTCTCACCCTTGCCCCCCCTCCTCTTTTTTTTTTTTTTTGGTTTTTGGACTCCAATCTTGTTGGGGGGAGAGGGGAGGGGGGGAAGTTGCTTTGTGTTTTCACTTCCACTTTCCAGCCAGGACAGGCCATGCCAAAATACCACGAGGAAGGATGCTCAGGGTGGTATTTCTGCTCGAGACTGAAAGCAGAAGTGCTGCGGGCTGTTGCGCGACAGCATCTTTGGGGCGTTTTGCAGTTTTACAGCTTGTTTTTGCCTTTTTTTTTTTTTTTTTTTTCC